ACTAAGAGTGAATGGATTCTTTTAGGAAAACATTTAGTGCTAGAAAAGGGACTTATAAGTAGAAATCAGAGTCCTTTTCATTTTATCACAGAGGCCTCATTTATGATTTATAGAAAGATCTTTTTAATATAAGACTTTTTTAGTTTCCAGATATATATGTAAATAAAATTAATAATAACAAAATTTCACTTAAGAAAATATGAGAATGAGCAATTTATAAAATATGTCTGACATGTCCTAGAGAAGAATAAAACAAGTATGGAAAGTTGGTGGAGGAGTAACATATGTTATGGTTAGGCTGCTAAAGGCTTGCAGAAACCTGAGCAGAAACAAGTTTTCTTTTTAACAAACCACATCTCTATATGAGATTCCTGTAAGAGGCACGTTGAACACTTTTGGAAGTATAACGAAAAAGTAAATCGAGGCAGAGGTATCTACATATAGAATACTTTTTCATAAAAATGTCGTTTAGGGGAACATTGAAAATATGTGTGAAGGCATTTTGAGTAGCATGGGGTGAATGGTAGATTAATTTAGGATGCAGACAGTGGAAGAATCATGTATAACATTATTAAAACATGAGCTAAATCAGGCCCTATGAAATAGGATTACCAGATACATTAAGAGTTTATCTTTAGCTCCCGCACCATGATCTTTTACAAAACTATTAGAACATTCTTCAAGATATGTCTAAAGCAAACTATGAGTGTAAATATCTGTGAATGTTTTCCCATCTTAATTTTCCAACATGCTATGCTTTTTAAGTCTATTTAGAGATGATAGATGATAGATGAGAGAGAGAGAGAGAGAGAGAGAGAGAGAGAGAGAGAGATGATAGATATATTTATCCAACTTTTTTTTATCTATGATAATGCAAGAGTATGGAAAGCCCTTTTTCTTTATTTATGAAGAGTTTGCTTTTTTGATGCTTAAGTAATCTCTTGAAGAATTCCCGATTGCACCATCTGTAAATCTCGTGGGAAGGAGTTGGCCTGGTATTTACTCTGTTACATTAAAAAAATCCCCTATTCGTTGTTTATGTTTTCTGCAAATTCAGCTGATGTTTATCAAACTTGAAGCAGTTGCGGTCTGGCTGTCTTTTTAAGTGAGCGATGGAGAAATTATTGTTTTCTTCGGCTTTCTTTTATTATCTCAGGGTTAATGCAGTCTTAAGCAATTTTTACTTACTATATTATTATCACAAGCAAATAGCAAAATTGTGTTTTATCCTTCCTTCTAATATTTTCAAACATAGCCTGGATGGTAAAATAGTTGTATGCAGTACAGTAAAAAATAATTATCTACTTATTTTCCAAAATCTTGAGAATAAATTTTTTCTTAGGTAACTTCAACCTGTGAATCTGTTTCTTGATGCATTTCTAGCAAACAAAAAAAGCAATTATGAAAATTACCTGATTTTGTATATTGTATGTGTTATAGAATTTTATAATTAATGCAATTTAATGTGAATATTTTTTTATTATCTCTTCATACCTTTTTATTTTGCATGTGTGTGTCTGTATTTTTACATTTATGTTACTACTTGGTGAAATTAGATTTGTAATTTGTAACCACACATATGGATTAAAGGTACAGGGTAATAGATCGCATGTTTAAATTTGTGTCTAAATCTGTATCTATATAAAAAAAAACCTGTGTCTATATACTAATTTTACTATTATCATTGAGGCAAAATGAAGTACAAATTTTCAATTTAGCAAATTGACCGACTTTTCTTTGTCTCACTCCTGCTCTCATATTTTCTCTCTTACCTTTCATTTTTCCATTTTGACTTGTGTACATAATACCTAATCTCCAATTTGATCCATTTAATTGCCTTTTGATGGAATACTTTGCTGTCATAAGAAACAGTGACAGTATAGATGAGAATGTGGAGAAAATCATTTGACTTGTTTTAAAAGTTATAAAGATAAAATTAAAAAGTAGATTTTAAAAGTATTATTGAGATTCACTAGATTGGTGTGGATGTCTTCACTTTGCTTTCAGGGTTGAACACTGATCATATTATATTAAAGAAGTGTACTTAACATATTAAGAGGTTTTGTATGAACTTGGGAGTTCTTTGAGGAATCCATCTCCAAATAGCATGCAAAAGCCCCCAAGATCAGACTTTTGAGTTGCTTTTATGGCTTCTCAATTCCTTTTGGAAAAAGACTCAGGAAGAAGAATGGTTTATAATGTTCACAATTTAAAATGAGAGTAATTAGATCCACTACAAGTTTTCAGTTTAAACTCTAAGCCTTTTAGGGCATTTCCTAGTTCTTTTAGCATAGCTTTATTAGGACTTGCTCTGTTTCATGACAAATTCCAGTGACACTGAAATTTTTTTCACTTCTTAAATCATGTCATGCTCTTGCTTATAAATTACTTCTTTTTTGCTGTC